ATGTAAAGAAAACTCTCTAAGTTACATCCATAACAATTCTTTTGCTGTTTTTAAAATGGGAATTTTTTCACTGACATTACACATGCATGGTTGAAGTTCATGTACGTTAAATCAGAGGATATAATTTAAAAGCAGTGGGTTTTGCTTCTTTTTTTCCACATTCTCTATTTCTTATCTCTCATCAGCTCCTTACATATGTTTTAAAAAGTAACTAAAAATTACAATATAAATTATATGTTTGCTTATTTATTATGTGCAATGAATTTTAAATTCAGACCCATATCAATATCCAAAGGGAGATGACCAAATTAGAAGAGAGTAAAGCAAGGAGAGTAGGTTAAAAGAGACTATGAATATCTTTTCATCCTAAATTTTCATGCTAAATTTTTGCAATTTCAATATCTTTAAAAATAAGAGGTCCTTCTGATACTATGCACTAATGCAATAAACATTAAGTAATTAAACTTAAGTGTATACTTACTTTTCCCAAATTTTACCAAATGATTACACTTCAGTGAAGTGCTCATGCTAAATAAACAAAGCTTACCATAACAACTCAACACTCCATACAGCATGATATTTATACAACAGGCTTGGTACACACTGAGCTTAACCCTTTGATTCCAGGAGTCATGATTTCATGACATGCCATCCTCTTACAGAATGCATTAGTACAATGTTGAAACAAATCTCCTAGCCTGAAGGAAAAAAAAACTAACCAATTCATGGGGCAGAAGATAATTACCTATTTATTCTAATTGAAGTCTGACTGTATGAAAATAAGCTACTGCTCTAGAGACATTACAGGGAATAAAAATAACTAGGCTTTTCATAGCTCTGAGAGCAAACGTAAAATCACAACTAGGTGTCCAAATCACTATGCTATGCAGACAACAGTATGTGTATCATGGATAGATTAGTCTAAGCATCAAGATTGCCTACCTGGAAGGGAAATACTTGCAATGCTGCACACAAACACCCTTCCATGGCAGAAAATTGACAGCGTTTGCCTTTGGGTTATGTTTGTGTTCTGCAAGGTTCTTGAAGTACCAGAAGTTTCACTCAGGACTGTAAATGTAACATGAAAATAAAGCTTCCAGTTTTAAAATTCAAGCTAGATGACACCGGGTTCCTCAGTGACCACAAGGACAGTGACTTTCTGCTCTAGGAGAATGATCTACAGGTTCTAAGAGCCAAAGTGACATTTTACCAGTTATGCCTAATATGGAAATTTGGTGATAAGGAGAGAAATCCTTGAAAGCAATCAGTTCACTTCACCATGGATTAACACTATCACAGATTCTCCAGGAAAGAAAAATATTCTGAAACAAAAAACAGTACTTCAAAAATCTTAACCTTACTACTGCAATGTTTTGCTGGATGCACCATAAAGAAGTAAATGCTATTATCTCATCATATGAAGGTTAACATTATCCTCAACTCTCATCACAAACCCTCTGTAGCTATTTTGCAATATGTCATTAATCAATGTATGTACTGATTGGATCCATTCAATTGGTGCATCAGTGTAATGAATGGCATATATAAACATGCTTCAAATACATTTATTCGGATATCTATATATGAAAGTAAAATCACTACCACAATTGGTACTCAAGCTTGTCAAAAGGGATGTTTTTCTTCTTCTGTTTTACATAAGACATGCTAATGGTTACGCCATCTGCAGTGTGAAACCCAGACAAATGCAAATCAAAGTAATAGTAGATCAAGACAAGTGTCTATTTAAAACTGTAGTTTTTGCAGGTATTCTGTTAACTCACAACCTAAATATAAACCTCCTGTTCCTGAATATACAGGATAACTACTAGATAAGGGTAACTTTTGCATCAGAAACTAAAACAAAAACATTTTCCAGTACAACATTCCACTTTTAAAATAGATCACATAGTTAGCAGTAAATTTATAAAGGTTTTCCATGAGAATACAAAACACACTTAAATTATTCTAGCAAAATCTCAGCAGTTCCCCTAAAACCATCCCCTCTGTAAAGCACAGTAGAACATAACGACTTACCCAACACCCTTTTTTTGCAAAGTTGAGGACACAAATTTGAAGGTTTCTTCAATCAGCTTTCAACTTGCTGATTAGCTAGTAGGTGCTGTAAGTCACTAAAATACTTGACGCGTTATGGAATAAGAGAGACAACATACATAAAAGCACCATATGCTACCTTCCCCCCCAGAAGAAGATGGCCACTAAAATAAGTACTGTGTTTTTTTCCCTCTTTGGCATGTGGAACAATAGAGTGGTTTACATCAAAATACAGGGCACGAGAGATGCAACGGCAAGGCTTACCTAATACCCAAATTTGCCAGCAGATGTGTGAGCTAGTTTTAAAAGTTCTATTATATTTTTACTAGATTTATAAATCAGTTCTAACATATCTCCAGTTGCCAGATTAGTAAATTGCTCTGAAATAGAGGAAATTAGATACACAATAATTTTAAAGTATTATAAAATACTGGGAGATGTCTGTTTTCTTAAGCACAAACACAAGTACAAGTATTTTTGTCTTATAAATCTCTATTTTTGTCTTATAAACCTTATACACATTTAGCAATTCCTACTGCTAGAAGATTTTGGCTAAAGCTGCCATTAAATTTGGCATAGTAAATCAATAATACTGTACAACTTTATGACCCATATTACAGTATTTGGTCAAACAGGAAACATGCTCAAAACATGAATTTCCACTACATAATGAATAATGAACAGTAAAAGACAGAAATAGAAGTGCTCCAAGGACTTGTTTTCAAAACCTTTATACATCCTTTTCACTAAAGAACAAAATTAAAATGGAGTTTGTGCTCATACCTGAATTTACATGGTATTTGATACACAAACCAAAGTCTAGGAGCAAATTCCATTTTCCCTCTCCTTTAAAAATGAACCAAATGTAGTGTTCAAGGCCAATAAGAGGCAATGTGTACACACTGATAATAGAAGAATAATTTGGAAACATGAGCAGTAATCTAGGCTTTAGAGAGCATGTAACAATTCTGAAAATAAAATTATTTGCTTAATTTTCTTCTTCCTGCCTCACAAGTGTGACTCACGAGATGCTGACTCCTCCTGGGAAACAACTGATGCAGCACATCTCTACAATATACCAACCCATGGCATTTAAAGGTATCAGGCCAAGGTTAGTGCTTTGGGAGCATGAAAGCACAAGACTCCCTCTCCTCATCTCATCATCCTCTGGGTTCTGTGTATGGCTGCCTTTTGTTTCCAAACATGGTTTTCTATCCTTTCATCAATGCCTACTACAAACAGTGCACCCTCAGACTTCTTTAGCCTTGAAAACAAGGTTTAAGAATGGATGGAGAATGTGAACAGAGAAGTCTGTGGCTGCTGAACTGCTTTGGTTTACAAGGTGTAGGATTCAAGTAAGATCACTGGGAAATATATACTGGGAAAATATCACTATTTTTGCCCGTTTCATATACTTTCCTTAGTGTTTTGTGTAATCTAGTTTAGAGACAGGACATAGGGCAAGATGGATCTTGTACACTTCTGGTACAGTCAATGTTATCTTTCAGAACAAGGAGGTGGCAGAATAAACTACTTTCACAGTATTCATTAAATCAATCATTTCCTCTATTCAACCAATTCAAGATCACCAATTCTGCTTCTAAAAACTTTAAAAAATTATGTGGTTCATAAGCTTCTGATTTTATGGCTACTCTTATTGTACGCCTTTAGTGTAGAAGATATTTGATATAAAGCAAAGCCAATGGTGAAGAATGGAAAGTTGAGAAGGTCCCAGGACCCAGCCTCTGGACTGGACTAAAACTACAGCATAGCAGGATGACAACACTACATGTTTTCCTTTTTTCCACTTTCTTCAGTCATATTCCTAAGTTCTTGTTTGGTTCTGAGCAAATAAATACAACTTTAGAAGTATATTTGAAGAAAGCTGATCAGGAATGTGGAACTGGTTGTTGTGCTTCACCAAGTTTTACAAAGAAAAGGAGACAATGTGAATAACATACAAAAACTGCACAAGTGAATGAATTTCACATCATCTCCCTGGTGGAGAAAAAGATAAATTCTAGTGCCTGAGGTTCTCCATTATGCACGACTAAAACTAAAAATGAGATAAAAAAATCCTACTTTATCAGAAAACAGGGGAAGACCCAAGAGAATAAAGGCACACCCAGAAAAATAGATGTGAGGAAGAGAATGATAGGATGCTTTTTTAATTTTCTGAACAAAACAGAACTGTCTGTAACAAAATATAATTCAGCAGTTAAACACTCATGTTTGGTCTACATGCAAGAGAGAACAAGTTTTGTCAGCAGGATGCAATTTCATATGGAACTCTGAATTAGGAATAAATGAGTTAATATCACAAAAAAGTCTCACTCAAATAAAATTTTCCCAGACTAAAACTCTCTTTATATTTTTACTAATAATGCATTTAAAATAACTATTCAGTAACAGACCTTCTATTCTATTGTGAACACAATCTGAAGCCCAACAACATTTTGGTGTGAAACTTAATGACATATATTTTTTTCTAAAATGGCAGAAGCAGCTCCTTCATAATTTCATGTAGTTGTGTTGTTAAGTTTCTGAGCACTTCTCTGTTTGCTACCTAGATATAGTACCAAGGAATTATTTAGGTTTTTTTTCCCCCCAGATACTGTTTTACTCTTATTCTTAACACATTTTTACAATTTAATCTCTGTATGTATAAAAATCCCATACCAATTTAATTATGTGTCTATAAAGAATTAATGTATACCACAGCAACTGAACTGAGTCTTAGACCTTTTAAGCATCTGTAGTCACAAAAGGCCTTTGTAACCTATAGTGGATTTTTTCTGTGAAGTCAGCAGCAAGAAGCCTGTAACCTCCAGTATGTGAATAAGCACATGCATGCTATTAAGAGTACAGGAATTGGCACACATCCCTTATGTGTGAGCAAGCACTCTTCCCTGAGATTAAGGCTCCAAAAGCAAGGATTTTTTACTAACCTGCAGCGGTCTCTGTTTCTCACTGCCCTTAGGAGACTTCAGTCCACTTGTCTGTTGCTGTAAAAGCAGCTGCCTTGCTGCCTGGAGTGC